GTCTAATATGGGTGTGGAGCTGTTAGCCTGTTGCAGTGTTAGCACTGGCTTAGCTTGCAGGCTAGCTCAGCTTTCCAATAAACTACCAGACCCAGGGTCATTTGATTATTTGCAGTTGGGTAAATTTCATCTGGTCAGCAGTGGAAGCAGCTCAGAACAAAACAAACTGGATGAAAATATTTGCAGTGATGGTAAAATCTTGTGTTTAAGGCTTTCAAATGGCTTTATGTTTGTCCTGTTTTGCAGCGGTTTAAATATTATAACGATACCTGGTATTCAGCACAATATTTTTAGTTTTTCCGAGATTTAATAAGTTGTAACAGACAAAATGGAACCTGTAGTGCCACATTTACAAACACAATAATAGTAATAGTAATAAAACAACAACTGTGATGATTTTTACGCCATATTTTACAAACTATACTGCACTAAATCCAATTAAACAGGCCTAATTATGGTCATTTTTTAATGAACGTGTAGTTAGTGTTCTTTAAGTGCTGACGATATCCACGATTCACTCACAGAATAGTATTGTGACAATTTATCATGATAACGATAAGACATTGTTATATTTCCCACTCTTACCCACTGGTTTAAAGATGAATGGGAAAGCTCATAACGCACATCATAACGAAAGTCCCGCCCTTCAATAAAAAAAGAGCCAATCAGCTTGCTGTTTGTGCTGCAAGTGGGGAAAGACCCCCTTTTTCTCTCCCCATTTAAAGAGAGAGAGGATTTCGGTCTTGCCGGAAATAACTGCCCGGCGGTGTTGCAAAGATGGCCGCCAAGTGAACAGACTTTCCTTTAAGGACTTTGATGCACAGCACCTTTAGCTTAATGCTAATGTAGAATGGCATTTAGAGGACATTAGCATTACCCTAGTGGATAAATTGGGCTATTTATAAGTGGAACGTTTCTTGTATGGGTGCACATTCCGACTAATTTTGGTGTCCGAGGATCCGCAAGCGTTACTGGTTATTCAAATTTGTATCCATATACAAGTCAAAAGTTTGGACAGTTGCTTTGTGTGAACTGTCATCAAAGCAAAAGGTGGCTACTTTGAAGAAACTAAAGTACTGAACACACACATACATTATATATATATATATATATATATATATATATATATATATATATATATATATATAATGTATGTGTGTGTGTGTGTATATAAATATATATATATATATATATATATATATATATATATATATATATATATATATATATATATATATAGATCACTATTTTAATTTGACTCTAGTTCCTTGTCTCTTGCTGTGCTGCACTACTTCTCGTCTCGGCGCACGCCAGGGCCGACTCGGCTCACGCTCAAAAAGAAACGTGTTCCCTCTGAATACTTGCAGTTGACCTTGCATTGCTTTTTCGTGCTCTGTTATGTCTTCTTCACATTTCTGATGGATGTGAGCAGCATGTGACGGTGAGCTCATGTCTGTTTATCCCCTGTAGACGGACGCTTCCATGTTGCATCAACTTCTGCACATTTGCAAGCTATTGTCTCCCAGATTTTTCCACAAGCTGCATGGAAAATGGATCCGTATCCAGTCTTGTGTTTTGGAGGTTTTAATAGAAATACTGTCATGTGGGTGGAACATCTGCAGGGTTTGCTGTCACAGAAGCCCACAGAGCCTTCCAGCAGCGCTGCGTTCTTAAATTAGCAGGCCGCATGAATTTAAAATGACTCGTGCTTTTGCTGCGAGGCTGCAGGGAAGCTCAACTTTGATTATTCATAAAGATTATCATTTATTCACAGGTAAATGAGGAGTGTTTGCATTTACAGCCAGGCTGAGGGTAATAAAAGCTCGCTGATACGGCCTCGTCCTGCTCCACCCTCCGCGCTGGAAGGTGTAATTACTCTGTGCAGACAAGCAGCCTGCCAAGAGCAAACTCAACTAAGGTCAAAATGACAATTTGCTTTTTTTATATTCCGTGCTGTCGGCCACAGACCCGAACGCAGAAGGCCTGCAGTGTCTCAGAGCTAATTTAGCGTGGCCGGAGGTTGAAGCAAGCTGCAGTTTGCCTCTTTGTCGCTGTTGTAGGCGTATGAAGCAGGAATGGCCATTTGATATTGGGATATTTCTCACTTTGGCAGTGGCACCACATTAATCAAACTTATGATAAAAGCAGCCTCTTGTTTTCATCTAGAATTACAGAAGGCGTACAGTTACTAGAGTTATTATTCTCAAGGAAACAAAGCGGCAGTGCAGCCTAAAACTGGAGTTTAATATGTTGTTTGTCATGCTATGAAGTTACATCCCTCAGCCTCGTCGCACTGCTCCAGACCTTTTTCGGAATCCTGAAAAACCGTGAGCCATCCTGCGGCGAAAATTGGTCCGTCCAAAGTGTTAAACTGGCTTGTTTACATTAGTGTTCCCAAAAACAACAGCAGTACACTCATTAAAAGTCTTTAGCACATACGGAGCTCGTCTGCATTATGTAAATGTACATGAAATGCAAAACAGATTACTATTGATTCAGATTGTATTCCGGTTTTCTTGCAGTGTTTATTAAAGTTATAATATATTAATACTGGAATGTGGCAAAGGCCTAGCAACACCTTAGCAACCACCTGGGATAACTCTGCAGTGGCCTAGCAACACCACGGCAACCGCCTGGGATACCATAGCAAAGACCTAGCCTAGCAACACCTTAGCAACCGCCTGGGATACCATAGCAAAGACCTAGCCTAGCAACACCTTAGCAACCGCCTGGGATAATGTTGCAGTGGCCTAGCAACTCCTTAGCAACCACCTGGGATAACAACGCAGTGGCCTAGCAACACCTTAGCAACCACCTGGGACACCTTAGCAAAAACCTAGCAACACCTTAGCAACCACCTGGGATAACAACGCAGTGGCCTAGCAACACCTTGGCAACCACCTGGGACACCATAGCAAAGACTTAAAGCAGATTTAAAGCGGATTAAGCTGTTTCTGGATTAAACATTGCTGTGTTTAGGGTGGATGTGATCGGCTGGCATGTTTATGATTTTATGACTATGTTAATATATACAAGTTAATAGTCTCTGAAGTTTTCCAAAATAGTTTAAACGTCATCCTGTACGCATTTTTTTTTTCAGTTCACTACAATACCCAGCTTACATCGTTTTCCCTTTAATTACTGAATAATAAGTCTATGCATGAAATATTCCTCGGAAATTAAGGGGGTTAACTGAACTAAATGAAAATGAGGTGATAGTGCTGAGCGATGAAATGAATATTTACAGTATGTTGACTCTTTATTTGGAGTTACAAAATTAGGCATCAGTTATGAATATCGCAGTGATGTTAAAGTGGCCTATTATGTACTTCTTATGCTCGCTGAGTTGCCTAACGGTTTGTGGCAGACCCCTCCTTGTGTTATGAGTGTGAGTGCGTTCAGTGTGTTATTATGTAAAGTGTATAAACCAGCTGGATAGTGCAGTGGCTAACACCACGGCCCTGCCCTACTCAGAGGGAGACGGGATAAAAGTTCTGTACCTGAAACACATTGACCACCTTTAAAAAATAAATAGTTACTTACTATTTGCCCTAGTTGATTTATTTTACTATATTTTAGTTCTTATTGCAGTTAATGTTTCCTGCCAGGTAACAGTTGTTTACTTTCAAGTTTGTTTCCATTTAATAAAGGCTGTTTAGTCTAAATTATGGCTCTTCTGATTTTAAAAATCACTCTCTTAAGCTATTTTGGAGTATTTTAAGTTATTTTGGGATTGTTTTTCCTCTATATTTGTGTAAATAAACGTTCTTGCCCTTTGCACTTTATTTCTGGCTATTATTCTGATTATTGTACACCGATCAAGCTTAATATTATGAGCCCCTTGTTTCTACACTCATTGTCCATTTTATCAGCTCCACTTACTATATAGGTGCACTTTGTAGTTCTACAGTTACAGACTGTAGTCCATCTGTTTCTCTGATACTTTGTTAGCCCCCTTTTACCCTGTTCTTCAGTGGTCAGGACCCCCATGGACCCTCACAGAGCAGGTACTATTTGGGTGGTGGATCATTCTCAGCACTGCAGTAACATTGACGTGGTGGTGGTGTGTTAGTGTGTTGTGCTGGTACGGGTGGATCAGACACAGCAGTGCTGCTGGAGCTTTTAAACACCTCAGTGTCCACTCCATTAGAAACTCCTACCTTGTCAGTCCACCTTGTAGATGTAAAGTCAGAGACGATAGCTCATCTGCTGCTGCACAGTTTGTGTTGGTCGTCCTCTAGTCCTTCATCAGTGGTCACAGGACGCTGCCCACAGGACGCTGTTGGCAGGATGTTTTTGGTTGGTGAACTATTCTCAGTCCAGCAGTGACACTGAGGTGTTTAAAAACTCCAGCAGCACTGCTGTGTCTGATCCACTCAGACCAGCGCAACACACACTAACACACCACCACCACGTCAGTGTTACTGCAGTGCTGAGAATGATCCACCACCCAAATAGTACCTGCTCTGTGAGGGTCCATGAGGGTCCTGACCACTGAAGAACAGGGTAAAAGGGGGCTAACAGAGTATCAGAGAAACAGATGGACTACAGTCTGTAACTGTAGAACTACAAAGTGCACCTATATAGTAAGTGGAGCTGATAAAATGGACAATGAGCGCAGAAACAAGGAGGTGGTCATAATGTTATGCCTGATCAGTGTAAATACACCATATAAAGCATGTAGTTTGTGATGTGACAATGTCTTTGTATTTATCTGTATTTTCTGTTTACTGTTTGTATTCTGTGTTGCTTACTTAAGCACCATTTCCACAAACGCAGATCTCCCCTACATGCAGCTGTGCTCTGCCTGTAAAGTGATGAATTCTGCCTCTGATGGTTCTGCTCTGTCTGGCGTGTTAGATTCTTATATTTGCCATGTCTCCGTGTCTGTAAATGGAAGCCAGTGTGTTCTGTGAGAAAGTGAATGCTAGGCATGAATAATTGAACACGGCACGCTGATTGTGTTCTGATTGGTCTGTTTTCCTCTGCTCTGTGTGTAGGTATCCGCTCATGGGACGTGGACCTGTCATCCTGTAACCTGGATGAGCAGCTCAAACTGTTCGTCTCCAGACACTCAGCCTTCTTCTCCGAGGAGCTCAAAGGTACTGATCGAACAGAATGTGTGACACCTACTCAATTTTAAAAGGACCATGTCATGGAAAACTGAATTTTCCCTCCCCCTTTTTTTTAAACTACATGGCCAAATGTTTGTGGACACCCCTCATAATTATTGGGTTCAGGTGTTTCAGCCACACCCATTGCTAACAGTTGTATAAAATCAAGCACGTAGCCTTGCAGTCTCCATAGACAAACACTGACAGTAGAATGGGTCGTACTGAAGAGCTCAGCGATTTTAAATGTGACACTGTTTTCAATTTGTGAAACTTCTGCTCTGCTGGATCTGCCCTGGTCAACTATAAGTACTATTATTATGAAATGGAAGTGTCTAGAAGCAGCAACAGCTCAGCCACAAAGTGGTTGCGCAAACTCACAGCAGGGCCACTGAGCGCTGAAGTATAATGTGCGAAAATCTCCTATCCTCTGTTGCGTCTCTCACTGCAGAGTTTCAAATTGCCTGGAAGCAACATCAGCACAAGAACTGAGCTTTGGGAGCTTCATGAAATGGGTTTCCATGGCCGAACAGGTGAAAGTAAGCCTAAGATCCCTATGTGCAATGCCAAGTGTCGGCTGGAGTGGTGTAAAGCGCCACCAATGGACACTGGATCAGTGGAAACGTGTTCTCTGGAGAGATGAATCAGCTTCACTATCTGTCAGTCTGATGATGAATCTGGGTTTGGTGGATGCCAGGAGAACATTACCTACCGGAACGCAGAGCCAACAATAGAGTTTGGTGGAGGAGTGATAAACAGTAGAGTTTGGTGGAGGAGTGATAAACAGTAGAGTTTGATGGAGGAGGGATGATGGGCTGGGCTGTTTTTCAGGGTTTGGGCCCCTCAGTTCCAGTGAAGGGTGATGTTGATGCTACAGCACAAAGACATTTTACACAGTTATCTGCTTCCAGCTTTGTGGCCGCAGTTTGGGGAAGAGCCTTTCCTGTTCCAGCATGACTGAGCCCCTGTGCACATAGCAGCTCCATAAAGACATGGAGTGACCAGTTTGGTGTAGAGGAACTCCAGTGGCCTGCACAGAGCCCTGACCTCAACCCCACTGGACACCTTTGAGATGAAACGCAATGTCAACTGTGAGCCAGGCCCTCACGCTCAACATCAGTGTCTGACCTCACAAATGCTCTTTAGACTGAATTGGCACAAATTCCCACAGACACACTCAGACATATTGTATAAAGCTTCCCAGAAGAGTGGAGGCTGTTACAGTCGCAAAGGGGGGCAACTCCATATTAACACCCATGTATTTGGAAAGGGACGTCCAGCAAGCTCATATAGGTGTGATGGTCATGTGTCCACATACTTTTGGCCAGGTGGTGTTTGAGTTTCAAAACATACAGTTCATAGGGTTTCATGGAAAAATACCCAGATAGTTTCTGGCAATATTGACCATTATGGAAAAAAATATTTATTTATTTGTTTATTTAACTGGACATTATTTCTTAAACCTGCTGTCCTGGGTGGTGTTCCAAATTGTGGTGTGAGCGGAGTGAGTAGCCTTTGAGGGTATGAGGCGAGGAAGTTGGCAGTGCTGACGGGTCGAGATTAGATCGGATTGGATTGGATTGGAGGAGAGAGAGAGACGTGACACATGAACAGCTGATGGAGCAGCTGCCGTTCTCCGCTGTTAAATCACCTTCTAATGACGGAGCTTTTCTCTCTTAACACATGGCACACGCCTCGAGTGCTTCAGATTCCTCTCGGTCTCACTCCTCCTTCATCTTCTGTGGTTCTGTAGTTTTTATTTAACGTCTGCACTCACATAAATCAGCAGTATGCCAGTGTACAAGTTATACCAGAGATACCTGACCTTAATAAGGGGGGGTAGGGCCCTTTAAAGATGTAGTATCAAGTGCATGGGGGGGCCGGACTAGTGTGACCAAGTTGGCAGCTTTTTGTCTGAATTTTCCGTTCCACCTTAAATAGAGCTGCAGTTACACACTGACACCTTTTACAGGCTCCTAAATGAAACTGCTGCTCTATTTAAGGTGGAACACGAAATCCAAATAACAGTACAACTTCAGCTTGGTCAGATTTCTCCAATCAGAGCTCTCATTTGTGCTTCTCATACACTCACCACTCTGATCATCAGACACGGATGGAATTTGGAAAATATTACAGTCAGTACTGCAGTACCAGCTGCTCCATGGCTCTTGTGTGGCATTGAAAGAGTCTCAGCCAGGCCTTGTCGCTTGGGTGTCCTTGCTAGGCTAATGCTAACCCCTGAAGTCCAGCCATTCATTTGTGTATGCTGCCTCAAAAGTGGAGCGGACTGCTTCAGATGAAGCAGACAAGTCATCGGGAGGTAATTCTGCATTTTGATTCTCATTTGAAACGTGACTGAAACATCCCTGTGTATTTAGACTTTCAGTCTTAAAGACTCATCAATAGTATTTTTTTATGTACTAAAAAGTAATAATTTTAGTCCTGTGTTTTAGTTTCAGTTTTAGCTCTTAGTATCACGATGAACTACATGATTGCAGGTGTTTGTTAAGAGCTGAATTAAATAAACAGTAGGCGGAGCTCAGCTCGGCTCCAGCTTTCCTTAAAGACCAAACTCAGCTAAACAGGATATCGTTAGTGTGGTTTGCACCATTTGTGCGTCTCATTATCTGCGCTGATTTGTGGCAAACCGGTGTAACGGTTATGACGAAGCTCATACTGGAGGATGAGATTCAGCCGGTATACCGGCTTAACTGGAATACCGCCCTAATACTGCTAAGTGCCTGTGATGCTCAGCGAGGCAGACAGCAGCCAGTTTAGACATGCTTCAGCTTTCACACCTGAATGGAGATCCTGTTTACTCCTGGAGAAGATCTCACCTCACAACCCTGTCTGCTTACCGAGGGATTCCTCAGATCGCTCTCCGGAGATTATTTGTGCGCCAGTGTTGGGTGTGAGAGATGTAGTGGGCTCAGTTTAGCTTAACAGCCAGGTTAAATCAACAGGAGCGTAATGATACGTAATCTCAGGTTGGATTTATTGGTTATTAAATTTGTTATTTTACATGTTTAAAATATCTTGATTTGGAGCTCTGATTAAATTCCAAGAATCACAACCGTTAGAATTTATGAGCTCTTCAGTAAAAAGGCCCATTTTATTTAAATCAGTGGGTCAGTGTGGTTTGAAGTATAGTTCACTAAAACCATTACTAAAACAAAAACCAGCCATGGAAAATGTGCTCGTTAACTGTAATAACAAATAAATTACAGTATTTGAGAACATGAAACCTAGATCAAAATGTCTGCTGCAGAACTGACTAAAACTAAATGGATTTCCAGAGAATAAACCTTTAGTTTTAGTTTTTTCAGTGTGTTAATGAGAGTTTAGAAGTGCGTTTGTGTGTTTGGTGTTTAAGGAAAGCTGGAGTCTGAGCTCTGTCTACTGCTGCGTTCAATTAATTCTACTCTTATCAAATACCTGCAATTATACAACAGTCAGTTCCGGCCACGCAAGCTGATTGGTTGAGAAGCGTTTTAACTGTGCTGTTACTTCACCATAACATCACGTTTTCTTTCACAAACACTGTATCACTCCGCTGAGACTGTGACAGCTGTAGGAGACGCTCAAGACATTTGAACGTTTTTACTTCTTACTTTGCCACAAACAGAAAATGGACACTTTTAAGATCACATTTGACCGACAGCCGATTTGGTCAGACTCTGAAGATGAGACGACACTAAATTCCCAAACTGTCATCACCACAGAGCAGCTTTTCAGTCGGCAGCTGTGACAGAAGAACAGCTAAACAACCTGGAATCAGCCAGAAATGAACCCAACACCATTCGCCAAACTAAATGGGCTGTAAGATGCTTTACAGACTGGCTGGAACAAAACAACATTAATACTGATCTGGCAAAAACTGACAGAACTGAGCTGAACCTGATATTGTGGCAGTTTTATGGCTCAGTCCATATTTCAAATGGCGGGGCTTACAGCAGACTGTGCAGCGAGTGGGCGGAGCTCGTTACCCTGACGTATCAACAAGCTGCTCGTTAAGGAACTATAATTTGGTGAAGGAACTGCGAACATTAAAACATATTAAACGCGGCGTTCACGGCCCAGTTTATTAATTTATTACTGTATTTATTTAACTGTTGTATTAAAGCAATAGAACACTCGAGGAGTGTGTTATCGCCAATAACATCACGGCTGTGATGATCTACGGCGACCAAATCACAGCCGTGATGTTATTTCGGGATAACACAGTTCATCATAATACTAACAGCTAAAACTGAAACTAAATAAAAACTAAAACTTTTAAAGAATCCTTAAGACTAAACTTAAATCAAAACCCAAAATGAAAAACTATCTTTAAATAAAAACTAAAGAATATTGCAAAACTGTAATAACCCTGTTGTGGGTGTTTCCATAGCATAAGCCCCACCCACTTTACTCAGTTACTAAGAGACACTTGAATACACTCTAACGCACTACGAGTATTTCGGCTCCTTAATGACCTCAGAAGTGGCGTTTAGAGGAAAAAGGCACATGTTGCCAAACATATAAGTTCAACTCAAAAATACCTTCATTTTTTCCTATAGAGAGAACCAGCTTAGACCCAGAGCTCCTTATATGGGCATGACACGGAATACAGAATGACGACACAGAGGTGTATGTAGCTTGTTCATAGCACGAATGGTGGGTTCGATCTCCGGTGATGCTACAGCCATCTGTGCCCAGCAGTCCAAGACAGTAGTGGGTGGGTGGGATGGCCCTCTCTGTCCCCCATCACTTAGTGTGGGGCTAGCCAGATGTAGCAGAACTGGCGGTTAATGTTCTCCTCCAAGCGTGTTCACCTGCCCAATGACGTCGCAGTAGCGGCGGTTCTGCCCTCCTGTTGCTGGTGGTATCGTTTGATTGGATGGTCCTAACTAGTGGGTGGAATTGGATAGGACTGTGGCCACGTTCAGACTGCAGGCAAATTCGATTTGTTTCTCAGATCTTTTGAGTCGACTGTCCGCACTGTTTTATCT